AAGGCTCCCGTCCCCCCCCACAATGTATTCCCCCCCCCCCCCCCCCCCCCCCCCCCTCACAATCCCGGCGGTGTCGGCATCCATACTCGCCAGGTGGAGCGCGCGACGCAGCTGGCGGAGGAGCAAGGGGTGCCGAATGCCAAGTTCCAGGTGACCAACGCCCTGGACATGACCTTCGAGGACGAGTCGTTCGACCTCGTCTGGGCGTGCGAGAGCGGAGAGCACATGCCCGACAAGGGCAAGTACATCGAGGAGATGACGCGCGTGCTCAAGCCCGGGGGGTGAGCGAGCTAGAGAGCTTTGCGGGGGGGGGTAAGGCAGATGTCTGCTCCACACCGTGCTGTTCGAAGAAATGGTATTTTTTTTTTTATTGTGTGGGGAGAAGGAGGCAGATGTTTGCTTCCCACCGTTGCTAATATATGTATGCTTGTTTGTGTTTTATTGGTAGAGAGAGGCAGATGTCTGCTCCACACCGTGTTGTTCGAAGAAATGATGGTAGTTTTTTTTGTGCGGGTACGTTTGTATGCCTCATGTTTGCTCGGACCGTTCTCGGGACGGTTCTCGGGACTGTTCATTTCCTGCCTGGCGTTTCAGGGGGCCGGGGAGGTGGTTCGGCAGTGTGCGAAAGTCATGATTTTCATGGTGTTGGGTCGTCGGTGCTAACGCGCGTGCCCAAGCCTGGGGGTGGGGGGCGTCGAAGCAAGTCCGGGGGCTCGTATAAATAACAGTATCCTGCACTGGTTATGGGGGATGGAAGCAGCGAATGGGTGTTGATGGTGTCTGGTACTGGGTGCCTTTGCCTTTTTGGGGGTTGGAGCGACGATGAGTTTGGTCTGCTGATATTCAGCATCGCTGCTTTTTCACAATTTTTCCTTCAAGCATAGAGTGCCGCCAAGCTGACGACAACACCCCGCCGGGCGCTCCCGCTGCCGCCGCTGCTACTGCTGCTACCCCCCCCTCCGTCGCAATCGATCCGTGCTGCTACCGATGATTGTACCAACCAATGCTGTCGTCTGCTGTCGTTATCCCCGTGCTTGTGCCACAGACAGCTCGTGGTGGCGACGTGGTGCCAGCGGGACAACTCCACCATGTCCTTCACGCCCGAGGAGGAGAGGAAGCTCGACTTCCTCTACAGCGAGTGGACGCACCCCCACTTCATCTCGATAAACGTGCGTAACGGTTTAACTCTCCCTGGGTACTACCGTATGGTGGTGTTACTCTTTGTATCTGGACTCTTTCTCTGCAGATTCTGGACGGCGGGACCAACTCCATGTGATTGGCGTGTATGCTTGTGCGACATTGATTTTGCTACGCTTTTCAGCGTGGGGCGAAGAATTGACGATGGGAAAGTCTCGACAGCGGTTTTCGATCTGTGGTGTTGGGTGCGGCTCTCCTGAGTGAGAAAAGTCCGCCCGACATGATAAAGCGACAGTCCTCCGTAAATAGTTCACCAATGATGCAAAACCAAGTGCCTTTGTCGGTGATAAAGACGTTCCCTTGTGTTGATTGTTTTTCATTCGATATTGCAGCTCCCTCGTCTCGTCACTGTTTTTGAGGGGCACGAATACCTTTGTGTTTTCTCTGGGGGATAACTTGGTCTGGTTTGTGTACATAATTTTTACATGCACACGACACGAAGCACGGTTGTTTCTTTGTTTTCTTCCGATCCAGGACTACGCCAAGCTGATGGAGGGTACTGGGCAGCTGGAGCAGGTGGAGACGGATGACTGGGCAGAACAGACCACACCGACATGGCGGTTATCTAGTGAGTTGCTGTGTTTGTTGGTGGCACTAAAATATACATTCTTGTTTCTTCTTGGAACGTCCTACTTATAATGTGAACAGAAGCAATTGTGTTGGGCGGACTTTATTGGGAGATTGTGCCCTTGATGAATCTCCACACTAGACGCGGTCTTTGTCTGCCGGCGCACTGCTCTATGTCGGGAACAGGTGTTGGAATGGGTGCTAGACATGATGCTCTGGGCTTTCCCCACGTTTTTGAAGAACATTGCCGTGATGCTGAACCGTCGGTAGCGTTGCGGCCTTTCGCCGCACAGGTCACAGCCGTCGTGGCGGCAGTAACCCGCCGTGCCCACATGCAGCACACGTCACCGTGTACCGGGTTTTGATCTTACGGTAGTTCACGTCACCCCGGTCGGTGTGCCTTCCTAGCGTGTTGCCATCTCCGTACAAGTGTCGTTTGTTTCCATCTATCTCCGATGCGGCTTGTCCCGCACCCGATTGATTGGCTTCGTCATGCTTTTCGTGTCGAGTTTTCCTTCCCTTCGCTATATGCCTTGCTTCAATCTATTGTTAGGAACAACACATAAAAACACACTGAAAGACTACAACGCGTTATAGATATTACCATATCTATTCTATTATAGTGAAAAACTCCCTTTTCTCTCTTGCCTGTTTGTCTGAATGTTGATCGGACCACAGTACGGTGTTGAGCTCCTGCCATATCCGAAAAGAGTCATCCTGTTGTTGTTCTCGAAGGATTGTCCGGTCCGCTGTTTTTGATTACCTCACTTATGCCCCCCCCCCCCCCGTTTGCCCCCTTCTTCCCGTACGATGCCCTGGTTCCGTGCCAATACCCGACGACGCCTCTCTTCTCCCCATCGCCCTAACGTGACCCAGTCTGGGTCGGCGTGGTAAACCCATGGCCTTGGCTCAGGGTGCCGCGGTCGTACTACAAGACGGTGCGCGACGCGTGGTGCATCGAGCGCATGCACCAGGCGTTTAAGAAGGGTCTCATGCAGTACGGCATGATCAAGAGCGTCAAGAAGAAGGCGGCCCCGCCACCGCCGCCACCGCCGCCGCCGTCTCCGGAAGGACCGACCACCCCACCGACGCCGGTCATCGTCCCGTAGTTCCGTGACACACCGTGACACACGGTACAAAAGTTAGCGGTTTTGTTAGGTTGCGGGGAAAACATCGTCGTCCACCTTTTAGGGACGGCGGCCGTGTCTTGGGGTCGATTTTTGGAAAGCGTTATGGAAGCCGGCCCGCTATTTTTGGTTAGGAAGCAACGAGAGGCGCCCTTCCTTGCCGCGTGGGGTTTGGGGGGCACGAGCGATGTTGGCCAAGGCGTTGGAGTGAGACAGGTGTCTACCCCACTCGATGGTCGTGAGAAAATCGCGTGTTTGGGGTGAAGAACTGCTGTTTTGTTCCCTTCGCGGTGAGGAGTTGTGGGAGTGTTTTTTTTTTTTTTTCACAAGGGGGAGACGTTGATAAATCAGCGCGGATTCGGAAAGCCTTATCGAGTAGGCTAGGCCAACGCTGGGGGTGAAAGTGGATCTTGGGGGCTTTTCCGGACCTCCTCGTCGACTTTCGTTATTTTCGGAAGAACCTCCACACGAAATAGATGAAGAAAACATGTGAATTTTCGCGGATCGAGGGGACGGTTGAAACAGGACTGCTGCGCCGTCGGCGTCCAGTGGGATCGAAAAAACTACTGATACACAATGAAATCGACGATAATCGACGGCGGGCTGGTTGCACTTGAACTTATCTAAATCAGCCGGCTAAACACCCCACCGGGTGGGGTGGGTAAGAATTTTTCCCACCGGTGGGGTGTTTAGCTGTGCCGAAGCCAAATAAGAACATCCCAAGTCCCCCATTTGCGCGACTGACCAGAATCGGCTATAGATTTTGTGTCATGTGATGACGTCACAGGAAAGTTGTGACAACGACACTCTCCACGCTCACGGAAGTCCAGGCCGTTCCCTCTTGGCGGTGACCCCGCGTGACCCCAGTAACCCTTAGCCCGGAGTCTTGCGGCTCGTCTCGTCGAGTTGACGGAATGGCGGCAGCTTCAGTGCAACGCAACGCGGCAATCGAGTCAAGATAAAATCAAGTCACATGTCAAACATATAACGCGATACACACCAAACCTTCCTCTCTCTCCTGCTAGCAGGGGGCTATTCCTGCACAGCTCGCGGCTTTCCCTATCTTCATGTCACACAGAGTGCTCGCATGAGATTTTCGGAGCGCAAGAGGACGCGATCGCGCTACAAATATCCATCCGCGAGGCAACAAAGCAGACCTCCCTCATCGCCTCAACTTATCTCTAGAGGAGGAGCTCCGGTGTGTGTTCTCTCTCAGAACCACAAAACAAAACATTGGTATTTCATGTGTACAGGGCAACACGCTCTACATCTTGCGCCGCAACGTATACCGGAGAGTGATCACCTCTTGTGGAATATGGTACAAAGTGGAGTGACCAGGAATAGTCAACATGCCAAACAACATGCTGGGTCGGCTGGCCTGGACAACGCGTCTACCGTTGGGCAGTACCCCTTTCCACCGACCACCACACGCTTGTTCTCCATTGCCGGTGATGGGCATTTACTTCACAAAGTCTCGAAGGCTCGGTGTTACGAAACTCATCTAGCCGGCACAACGGCTACCAGAGAAGTGCACGGCGATAGTTGCGCTATTGCCCCCCAAGCACTTCATTCCGCTTTCGATCGTATCATGCCATGAAGGGAAGAAGTTGAGGCATGGAAGGGGTCGCCGATCGACGCGGTCGGGCGTCAAGGTCTTCGTCGCGGACAGCTGTGGGCTTGTCTTGCACGGGGATCAAAACTGTCCCGAAACGGGTACCTTGTTCCGAACCACACCGCCCCGGGTAGTTCCGAAAGTGGAGCCTACCCAGCTACAGGCGTGCCTCGACAACGTTCACGTTCGGTGCAGGTGACGTCCACTCAAAGTCACGCGTCGTAAGGAGGCCGGCCACATCTCTCCGATAGGCTGGTTAAATTTATGACCAAACGATAGCTGCTTTAGGGAGGTCGGCCACCCGACGTCGGCGACAGGCTGGTTGAAGACATCTCCAAACGATAGCTTCTTCAGGGAGACCGGCCACACCGCTCCGACAATCGGCTGGTTGAAACCGCCCCCAAACGATGATTGCTTCGGGGAGCCAAACGATAGGTGCTTCAGGGAGGCCGGCCACACCACTCCGACAATCGGCTGGTTGAAACCGCCCCCAAACGATAGCTGTTGTAACGAGGCTGGCCACACGACTCTCACGATCGGCTTGTGAAATTTATGACCAAACGATAGCTGCTTCAAGGTAGTCGGCCACACGACGTTGGTGATAGACTGGTTGAAGAACCGACCAAAGGATAGCAGCTGCAGGGAGGCCGGCCACACGACGTCGGCGATAGGCCGGTCGAACCCCCCTAATGATAGTTGGTTCAGGGAGGCCGGCCACACGACGTCAACGATAGGCTGGTTAAACACATCCCCAAACGATGGTTCCTTCAGGGAGGCCGGCCACACCACTCCAACAATCGGCTGGTTGAAACTATGCCCAAGCCATAACTGCTGCAGGGAGACCGGCCACATGACACCGGTGATAGGCTGGTTGAATCCGTTAACAGGTCCCCCGAACGGTAGTTGCGTCAGGGGGGGCGGCCACACGTCGTCGGTGATTGGCTGGCGAAAGACAGCCCCAAACGATAGCTGCTTCAGGGAGGCCGGCCATACGACTCCGGCAATGGGCTTGTTGAAGTGATGTCCGAGGGAAAGCTGCTCAAGGGAGGCCGGCCATCCGGCTTCGGTGATGGACTGGTCGAAGGAATATCCAAACGATAGATGCTGCAATAAGGCTGACCACATGGCTCCAACGATGGGCTTGTTGAAGAAATGTCCAAATGATAGCTGCTGCAGGGAGGCCGGCCACGTGACTGCGACGATGGGCTGGTTAAATCCATTACCAAACGATAGTTGAGTCAGAGAGACCGGCCACACGACATCGGCGATAGGCTGGTTAAATACATTCCCAAACGATAGCTGCTGCAGTGAGGCCGACCACATGGCTCCGACGACGGGCCTGTTGAAGAAATGTCCAAATGATAGCTGCTGCAGGGAGGCCGGCCACGTGACTGCGACGATGGGCTCGTTGAAGAAATTATCAAACGGTAGCTTCTTTAGGGAGCCCGGCCACAAGACACCCTCGATCGGCTTGTTGAAACGATGTCTGAACGATAGCTCTTTCGCGGAGAGGGGCGATGATTCCGTGCCCAACCGCATATCGGATACAAACACCAGCCGTTTGAGAGTTCGAGGCCAAGCCACCGATCCCACGCTTGCTGCAGAAGAGTTTCCCTTTTCAAGAAGCTGCCGACGTTCTGACCCTGGCTGCACCTCCCTCCGCGGCAAGCTGTCCATTGAAACTGCCAACGTCCAACCAAAGGCCTGCACAGCCGGCACGCGACTCGACATGCGAACCCCTGGACTGCTCTGGCTGGGTATGGCGCGCGATGAGCGAGGAGGCCTCAACCTAGGAAAACTGTGTCCATAGACGCGTACATTAACTATCTGGGCACTTCTGCATGCCCCACAAAGCTCCAGCGACACAAGCTGTAGCTCCATCGTAGACACATACCAACGATTTTCTTGTCCATCGCAAGCCTGGTTCAATGCGACTATGAAGGCGTCCAGGCACTTGCTCCTTCCTGAGACAATGGATCGCAGATATGCAAGTAAGGTGGGTGAAGCAGTAGGCTGGGAAGAAGGATGGAGGGGGAGGGGTGTTCTGAACTGATACTTGCAAGTCCACAGCCTCGGGACAGCTGAAAACAGCAGTCATCGATCAATAAACCACAGCGTGATTGATCACACACTTTTGGCCTGGTCATGGTCGGCGACCCCCACCCTTCGTTTGCATGCTAGTTGGGGCCGGCCGAAGCACCACATTCGGTAGGTTGCTGCAAGGCTCATGATTCATTATACAATCGTCTGCGCTCTTGCGGTTATTGCAGCCATGAAGTGGGCGTTTCGCATGCAAGTGGCGAAAAATCATGTGAGATCGCACTCTTCAAACAGAGACAACAACTAACTGTAGGCCGATACCGCTCTCCGCCAACATTCCCGGCGATGCTGTGTCGACAGGGCTACCGCGAACTTGGCATCAAACCTCTATTACTATTTTGTTCGTGCCCCTGTAAACGGGTCTCCCACACTTTCTACAGTTTTGCAAAACCGCCCATGGCATGCCCTAAATAGCCCGCGGGCAGCCCATGGGCGGCCAATGAGTACCCTTCAACCGGAACCAGTGTACTCCTTAACAATAGATTATCTGCTCTCGAACGGGCAGGATAACGGCTAATAACCCTGCCCCTAACCCTGACCCCAAGCCCATACGATACGTGCTAGGTTGGCGCTGGGTGGCTAAGTGCTAGGTTGATGCGAAGGTGGCTAAGTTCTAGGTTGATATGCCGTGGCGAGGTCAAGGTTGAAGTGCTCACGGTAGGCACTTCATGGGCCGCCCATGGGCCCGCCCATGGCTCGCCCATGGGCCACCCATCGCCCATGGGCAGCCCATGGGCGGCCCATGGCTGATCCTTGGGAACCGACCCATGGGCGGTTTAACAATACTGTCAGTAGTATGGGAGGTTGCTGTAAACGGACGTGCGTTATCATTTCCTTGAGTTTTCCCCTCCGTTACGTTGGCGTTCATTTCTTGGGCTAGAGTCAAGTTTCGAAGCAGCACTTTGCCTCTGGTGGGGACTTCTATCTCTCGCCACTTCTTTAGAAGCGACGACAACGTGCCATATTCCACATCAAGTGCGCTTTTACTCAATAATATGTTGATTACGAGTGGGCCGCCCTCCCGCGTTGGGCCTCCCGACCAAGCAAGTCTCAGCGGGCAAGAAAGAAAAAATATGGAAATGTTTTTTTGCAAGAATTGTCCCACCAGGGCCGGCGGCGACGGGCAGGACGGGCGGGACATACACAACGTGTTTTCATTTCCACATTGCAATGCCATCCTTTGGAGCATTGGCTCCTACTTCCTTGCGGTGGAGAAGAACCGATCTTATTGTGGTTTCTGTTGTTCGTGCTGTTCCGGTCTCTGGTCAGTACTTTCCAACATCCGTACTGGTGGCGCCGACATCCAAGAAACGGTGTAATAAGTATCCAGCGGACGAATAACACCGAGGTGGCAGGAAACCCGCCCCTAATCCCTGTAAGTAAGTACTGTATAGGCTCCGCCAATCCCAGTCTTTCGATGAAGCCTCGACCGAACCCGCCTCCTCTCACCTTCGGTAGTAGTCATGGGAACCTCTGTTCGCAGATAGCAGTGTACGCGTCCTCGGGGGTGTCGGAGGGGGCCTAGGAGCCGGCGGTGAAACACGGTCGGATCTGTCAAAGGGCCTACCGGCCAGAATGTTACAGCGTGCGGGCGGGCCCGCAGTCAAGCAATGTTCCGAAAAGAAACAAGGGCTTTCGACTAGTAAGCAATTGATGACGTATCCTTTTTTGGCAATATGCATACCAATCAAAGGATGGACTACTGTAAGTTCCCGTTCGAGATATATCCAGTCTGAAGTTGGAATTCTCCGGAGTATTGGGTTCAATAACTGCGTTCGGTAGTCATTCGCA